TTCTCCAGTTTTCTCATTATTCTTATTGATTATAACTATCCCACAAGTTATTTTCTGACCAAAATTCATAGCGGTAATCCAGCCACCGCAAGTTAATGTCATTCACCCATGTCAAGGAATTCTCATCAAATTCTCTGCCACTAGTTATTCTAACATTTCTAACAAAAAGACTTGTGACTGACTTTCGTCTCTTTCAAGTTCTCAAACCAAAGGCTCGAGAAATTGAAACAAGTTTGACGCTCTGAAGAATGAGTTTGTTGGGCTAGGCTGCACTACACTAATTAAGACACTAACCTCCTTCGGAACACAGCACAGAATGGTACAATGCATTCAACCTCCTTGCATCGACTGCTGTGTTGCCACAAACAGTCCATGATGTGCCCTCCATCTTTGATCCTGTTTTCCAGGAAAAGACTCCCCAGTTTCAAAATTTGCCTTTTTCCCTACAACAGAAATGCATGTTAATCACTATGTAGTCTTGTTTATTATCATGACAGTGTAGGTTTGGTAATGCTAGCTGTTACCAACTCCATAATCAAAGGTAATTCTTCAACAAAAAGCAAAATGCAATTGAAGTAAACAAAGTACACCATAACCTGTAATTCCTCTTTCATTTTTTGTAAAACTTATTTTGTTTGTGAATTACAATTAATTCAATTAATTCGTCGGTGACAAATTTCCCCTTTTGTGGAGCTAAGTAGTGCAATCAGCTACAGGTTCAACACACACCGACCAGTCTGATATGGCTAAGGCAAAAACTTACCAATAAGCAACTGCTGTCTTGGCATCGGTTGTCTTGACATCTCTTCTTACAGTATACAGCACGCTCAGGATCACCCAGCTGGGAACTATAATCCTGCTAAAGTAAGATATAGTCAATTCATCAAAACCATTTTTGTTTTGAGAAATAATGGAAGGCAAAATTTCGGGCCTATTTCATCTCTCTTCCTTCAAAGAAGCATGTAAAATCCCATCCCCCACATATAGCCCCACCCCTCAGAAAGGCCAGAAAAGGCTGCATGAAAAATTTCCATATTATTGCCCCCCACAAAAAAAAACCCAACACAAGTTTGGCCCCCAAATATTTGATTCTGAATTCGTCCTCCATATTAGCCAATAAATATCCATGAAGAGTGAACAGGATGGTGTTTCTTAATTAGGAGAATGGAAAAAATATATTGTGTGATTTTCTAATCAGGCAATTTTCAAGGGGAAAGAAAAGAGCACACTTGCCCGTCCGACTGGATTGGTGCATCCATTACTGGGTTGCTGAGATGAAACCATTCTGTATGACGTATGTGAAATTCTGCCATTATGCATTGTGTTACATCCAACACAATGATCCTTGAAGCCAGTTGACCGCTTGCCATGACTGGGTTCAGCATATCCATTAGCAACTACTTCCTCAAATGGAGCTCTCTGTTCCATATGACGCGCATCACTGCTCCCTGATGTTATCCCATGATCTGTGAAGCCTGTTGCTCCCCTCAAAGGACTAGCTTCTGCTTGCAACTGCTCCCTGTGATTCTGAGCTGCCAAGTAGCCATTGGCCAGAGGCTGATGACCAGTCCGGCTCCCTTCCATACCATGGGTGTTCTTTTGTGGGTATCTTCGATCGCTTCCATCCATTTCAATTCCTGCCTTGTTGAAGTGACTGGCACTTGCAGATGGTCTTAGACAATTAGTGCCATTGTTCAAGTAGCTGGGAGAAGTGTTGGTACCTGGCAAATAAGCAGATGCATAGGAAGGTGTCTGTCTGGTAACAGTACCTGAGGAGGTATGGCAAGGTGCGTCTGTCTTTCCATCAATCTCATCATCACCCCTGATGCTACTGTGGCAGAGTGACGGTTCTATGGACATGATGGAATGAAGAAATTTGGAGAATTTAATTCAGTGTTGATTTGACTCAACTTAGTTACACTGGGCTGTAGTGGTGAGTAAGATGATTTCTGGAAAGAAAACATCACCTAAATATTGCGTGCAAAACACTAATTAACATGTGCACATCTCAGACAGATGATAAAGATTACAGGAAGAGCCATATGTATGCAGGACAAACATCCTGTGTTAATATCCGTTAACACAAAATTCTGTATTAACAGTGTTAATATTTCAAATTTATGATGCTTGTACATGCACATGTGGCCAAAAGCAACCACAATGGTGGAATGTGATGCTACAATGCCAAATATTGCAAGGAAGGATCAAGTTTGTCAATTTTTCAGTTGTGATGAGTGTTAATACCTGTACCTGATTCCGCAGAGAATTCCAACTCCAATTGCTCTCCAGAACTGGCAGTAGCCTCAGATGGATCCCGGCTTTGGTCTGCATCTGCAGGCATGTCATTAGCCCAGGATTTAGAGATCAAAGCCATTTTTTCAAGAAAATCCAGCTGGGCCTCTATACATGTACATGCACGTGCACATCTTTTATTCTCTTCCTCTTCTGTGAAAACCTGTTCAGAATATCTTTCCTTCTTCAAACTGCTCTGATCAAAGCATTCACATCTTGGGATAGGTATTTGTGGATTGGCCTGGAGAATTTCCATGAAAATTCTGTCACATTGTGAATGAGATAAATTATCAATATCTATTTTTGCGATGTGAGATGGAATCTTCCTGTGCGTCCCCTGTTTAAAAAGCCAGATTGCAGCATCTGGTGGTAAATCTGAATCTTGACACTGAACTTTTCGTTCACCAGTGGAAAGTTTAAAATTGTGGCCCGGTGACGAATGTTCTCCACCTTCACTTGAGAAATGTGATAGCCTGAAACTTCTACGTTCATCTTCATAACTTCCGGGGTGATGAATTTCTTCATTTACTGAATTTTCAGATGATAAGAAGACACTTGAAAAATGTTGCCCCTCAGGGATCTCATCACTTCCCCCAGTCCCATAGCCACTTGACTTCTTGGACTTGCGGAAACCTTCCCCCTTATGCCTTCCTGATTCTGACAGAGATTGTTTCACTACACCATTAACTTCAATTTTCGGGATGGTACGGTCAGAGGATGAGGCTTCCAACTCTTGAGTGTCAAGTGAAGATGATGTACTAGATGATAGTTGCCTTCCTGAGTCCCCACTATCAAACTGTTCATCAACCAAGGAGTTCGAGCTTCTCCTTAATGAAGTTTGAAGACTTTTGCCTTGACTGCCTCCTCCAGGGTAACTTTCAAGAAGCGGTTGGCCACTACTCTCTGGCCTCCTTGGATAAACATCAGACAGATCCTTGCGATGGGAAATGTCAGCCAAAACTGCTCCAGCTGAGCTGGGAAGGCCATCTGAAATGTCTTTCCTCTTGGGAGCTTTTTCAGGTTCCTTTTGCCAGGTAATTGGTGTACATGTTTCATGATGATAGCTGATTGTAATACTGCTTCTTTGTTTAAATAGAAGCTGGTCATATCTTGTCAAGTGTTCACTGTATATGTACTTTACAAAAAGCTGTATGGTTCCGCCAACACCTTTACATGTATATTGATGATTCAGACCGTTACAATGAATATCTCGAATCATTTGCAATTGTGAAGAATTTTTTTGTGATGCTTTGGAATTTGGCAACATTTGTTGAAGGTCTTTATTTGAAGTTTCTTTGCTGCAACCATCATGACTGAAGTGATTACATGGGGCTTTGATTTGTCTGAAGTGCCTTGTGGGTCCAGTTTTGGAAGTCTGTACTGCAAATATGGGACCATCAGCAACATCAACGTTATTTGTAACTGCAGTCTGCCTGCAAAATGGTTTGCGTCTTGGGGGCATCTGATCTAGTTCAGCTGCCATCTTGAGTTGGCGTTGAGTCACATGTGTCATTCTCAAATGATTCTAAAATGAACTTCAAAGACATTTAGCGATGAGGGGGCCCGTGCATCAGTGACAGTGAGATTGTACTAAATGGTCTTAGCCAATGAGTCCTTCAACAGAAAATCTGGACTGGTTTCAAATGAGAAGCACACAATTTGTATTATGCAAGCAGACGTCTCCAGATTGACGGCTTTGCTATACACTCAATCACGAAGAAACGTAAAGCATCTGTTCCATATCTCCAGCTGAACCACTCTGAAAGAAAAAGAATGCAAAACTACATATATTGGCTAGCAAATGACACAACTCATTTCATAAAACAATTTCATAATTTCCTATGAAACTGAAACAAGCTGTTCACCACAAAACTTCAACTGGTTACAGTTTTAATGTAAAGGGAGAGCAAAGGGTCTGCAAAACAGATAAAAGTTTAAATTGCCAATACTGCTGAAGAATATCCAAAGGGGAAAATGAATCTCAAATATGATCAATAAACATATTTTTACATGCCATCATAAAATCTAAAAACAATCTAATGAGCGTCATGAAAAGAACAGTTAACATACAAGTATCTTTACTCCTATGTCACATACTGCATGTGCATGTACATACACTACAGTCAATCAAAACGAAAGTGATTTCTCACCAATGAGGGGACTATACCTCTGACCAAACTCCTTGAAAATCCGACCAAATTATGAACAAACAAACTACCGGAAAAGAAACGTCATGAGTGAGTGGTTTTCCTTTCTTTGGAAACCCCCCTGGTGCGGCATTGTACATGTAATCTTACATGGATTTTATCGCACAGCACCTCTGCATGCAGGTGAAAAACTTTCTGAAAACTAAAGCTGAACACTTCATAAAAGAAATGCTTTGTAAAATACTTACATGTGAATAAAGTTGTCTAGCACATATACATGTACTAACTGAAATTTAACTGATGTATAAAACTTTTGAGTGAATGTGGAAAATGAATATTACTGCACGGCAGATTTGATGTGAATGAATGAAGTGACAGATTACAAAGATCCAACCAAATATAACGCTTTATTTTAAAAGACTCTGTAGAGTTAGCATGATACAAAACCTAATGAAAAGAAGTTTTCTGCTGGTACAGTTTATGTGTATTTTAAGTAGTACATGCATGTACATGTACACGGGTACGTGTACGTATATGGCTCACACAGGTACCTGTGCAAAGAACCATTTCTCACAAGATCTATTTTTCTTTTACTGCAAACAGAACACTTCTTGAAAGAGACCCTAAAAGGATCTAAATGTCGGGTATTTTGGTCCCCCGTAACAATATGAACAGTGTTCTGCTCATCTTGAGTTGTTTATGTACAATGAATTTCTCTTATACACATTTTTTCTTTAACTCTGTATTCTTCTTTAATGTATGAAAACAGTTTCACTTCCTTTACGTGTACTTTGCTACAATAAATTTACTTTGCAAATAAATAAAAAAGTCTACTTTTAAACAAAAGTGATCCATGCTTTCCTTGACAACTGGGGGCATTTTTACGTTGCTGTGATGTCAGCCAGGGAAGACGGTTCGGTGAATGGGTTGTCCTTTTGAAATTGTGAACCCAGAATTTACATATGAAAACATGAATGAAAGAATTGATGTTTGCTTAATGCTTTGCAGTATAGAAGAGAAAACTGAGGACAGCAAATTCTACAAAAATGCTGGACTTTTTTGTGTACAAACCAATGCAACACTGAGGCTTCTTCCTGGGATGACATCACAGTTTTGCTCATGAATATGTATCATTAGCATAAAACCTAACAGGGTGTACCCTTTCAAATAGTGAAACAAAAGTTGAAAATAGGTTAGCTGAGACACAAAAGGGCATTTTGAAGGTTTGTATTAAATTGATTTCAGATACCCTTAACAACAAAAAACAACTACAATGGAACACTAGAGCTGTTTCATGAACTTGTGATGGTGGGCAAATTCTTCAAAATAACAGTTGTGGCTGGAAGAGGGCATTATGAGGCTGAGAAAATTGTCTTTCTGAGAATAAATTATTTTGGCAGAGGTGTACATGTATGTACTTGAGAGAAGTACAATAATGAAACAGGAAACAATGCATAGATGTATAAAAATACTGGTACAAAAGAATGGGAGAATCCAATTTCAGCTTCAGTTCAGTGAAATTCTCCCTTATTATGTAGAATAATCTCCCTCATGCCTAGATTCCTGACACATGATAAGGTTTCCTCATTGACAGAGAAAAAATAGTCGCAGATCGATGTGTGGGTGGCCAATACAGAGAAATGATGAATGCATTTTGACACCAATGCACATTGATTGATTTCATTGAAAAGGAGGGAAAGTAAAGAATAGTGACCTCGTACCTAATGAACTTCAGTGAAGGAACGTACACAAAAGTTTGTCATTTTTTTTAAGAGCATGTTATTTTACAGGAAACAGGTTAGGTCAATTAATATGTTTCAATTATTTCAGATTTTAAAAAGATAAAGCAACATAATAATTTCATGCACTTCATTAACACACCGTATGAGGCTTCAAAATCATGGGGGTTGAGACAGAGGGCAAAATGCTCTTAAATGATCCCTCTAACCTCTGTACTGCAATTTCCCCTTAAAACCATGTACTCATGTGTCAGAACAAGCTTGAGCGGCTGGCTGAAAATGTAAAAGAGCACAAATTTGAATGTCATTTTTTTCTCAGATTTTCCAAGTTTGCAGTGTTATGTAGTAAATTAGAAACCTGTTACATATGGAAAGAGAGTCACAGTGACCTGCATTTGCAAGATGAGGTCACCACAATTATGTTCGTGTACAATGTACATGTACACAGCATGGGGTGAAAATCATTGTCAACTGTAGCTAGGGGAACCAATATGCCATCTAATTCACCTGTTCAGAAAATGTTGGTTCACGCAGATAATATTTTCTGCATGAGTTAGCAAACTTACCAGTACAAGTATTTTACAGGATCCAAGAGGGCTACATTACAAATTGAAATGGAAAACGGGAAGATAAAAAATGTCTAATTTTCTTAAGCTTATTTTGAGAGATGTAAATTGCAAAGAGAACAAACACTTCTCAGTAGCATATGGCCAAAGTAGAATTCCCTGCCACAAATGTGGGCACACATACGCACGTCAATATAGATAACTTTTTGTTGAACCTGTTTACATGCATACATGTACACGTACTTTGGTGGCATGGTGAAATATTGCAGATTTGACCAAGTGTAAATTTGACAACTGCATGTAGAGTTAATTTGTACAGGCTGATTGAGGATACCCACAGAAAAGCTGCCACTTACGGTAAGTGAAGATCTTGCAGCCCATCTTGGCAAAGATATGTATGTACATGTACAGGTATCGTCATAATTTATGTATAAAATTGCTCTTCAAACTAACTTTAGTTGGAACTGTGCCATAGTTAAATATGCCTAGACAACATTGGGTACCAGACTGATACACTGGATGGAAGGGCTGGTGTTGACAGCCATTCCCGGAGTCAGCTAGTAATCTCACTAGCTTGATGAACATATCCCTATCCCTTGTTTAACAGGTGTGGGTTGGGGGGGGGCTGGGAGTGGGAAAATCAAACCCCTATTCCAGCACACCCACACATAATGAAATAACATTTATACATGTAGTCAAATAATGTTTTTTAAATTAATGATGTCATGTAATGATTATTTCTACATCATTATGTGACACATTGCCTAAGTACCTTTCTGCCTGTCCACAAAAAAACTGGACCTAATAACAGTCCTCAGTCCTCCAGGTCAAAGAAAATCTCTGGGAAAATTTCCTCAATCCTTTTTTAGGCCAGTCATGCCAATGTCACTCCATATTTAATGGTTTAACTACAATGTCAACCCAGCCAATAGGCCTACTCTATGCACAACTATGGACTTCCTTCCTCCATGGCAGAACCATGAAATGCATAACATTTGCACACAACCATTCCCACTGGCTGTGTGCCCTCCATGTTTACTCACAGATTTGTGCACATTCAAGTGAAATTTGGCAGGGGAATACATACACAAACTACACCACTTTTTCCCAGCTACATGTATTGGCCATATGAAAGCAATAAAATGTCCTAAAATGTCAAATTTTGAGGCGAAAATATCGAGGGACAGAAGTTTTCGAACCAAAGGGTTTGTGCAGAGAGTATCGAATGGCATCCGTAAATGAAATTCTTTTCATCAAGACAAGGTATAATATAGTTTATCCTGGAAGTGAATCAAAGATCAGTACTTAGTAACTTACCAGTGTGATTGCCATGTATTGAATATGAACAGTTCGCGCAGTAGTTTCATTTTTCTATCAACCATTTTCACTCTGAGATACCGTCATGTACAGTACATGTACACGTACTGTGCCGTGCCGTGTACGTGCTGAGGCGATGCGAGCCGGCCGGGTCACCGTAGCCGCGTGCACGTGCGGTCCGTGGAGACTTCCTTTCCTCGAGGGGAACACGCCGTACTTAGACTTGCTCTACGGAAAGCCGCTTTTTAAAACCCATTTTGACGTGTGACGCTTGAATGATATTATTTAAAGGTTACAATTAAGCAACCTTCAATACAGAGAAGAGTGAAATATACAATGAAAGGTTCAAAACTCAATTGATGGGAAGGTACCGGGTAAATAAATAGTCCGTATGCAATTTTTCTGTGTGGTGTATAGAGCTTACGTGAGGCCTGGGAATTCCCGTAGCACGAAACAACATTAGACTTGTTTAATTTGCCCATGGTAGGAATTATTGTCAATGAAAATATAATTATCTTCATTCACTTACATGTAGATGTATTTTGCTGAGTAAGTTTATAAATCACGCATTTATCAGAGGCAGATTCCCTAGTTTCCCTATCTGTTTTGACAGAGGAAATATTTCGAAACTGGTCTTGTCAACATGCAGGGAATCAGTACGCAACACACTTGGCGAGTTTAGACAAGGGCAGTGGTGCTGGCCTGGGATCCACCGCAACGCACAAGGGTCTGGGAAACCAGGGAAAAAATGGTAATTCTTTTTAACCACAGTTCAAAGAAACCGCAGTTTCCTCTTCGGGCTTTTTTTTTTTGGGGGGGGGAGACCGAACATTCTGTCTGGAATACCCGGCTGCCTTCTCCAATGAGCACCCAGGTGTAACTCTTATACGTCTCTTCCCGGCCTCTCGGTTCTACATTTTGTGTTACAGTGTTTTGGAATTACCCACTGCTTGTGTTATTTACTTTTTGAGAGTGGTGAGGCTATTTTTAGATGCAAGCAGATAATTTACACGGTTGGACGCAAAAATTAAAACTTATCTTGACCAACAAGAATTCGAGGAAACCACGCTTAGAAGTGAGAAATGCAGTAAATCAATGAAGTAGTCTTTTGAAAACACCTGCTTTGTGACGGTTTGGGTTTTTTAGTCCACAGGAAATAACGTAATGAGAAATATAAATCAAACATAGATGTAGTGCCCAATTCCACACCATCTTGGACCTTAACAATTCATGTAATTCATTGAAAGAAGTATATTTCCTGCAGTCCGGTTTGATGTCGGTATCAACAAATGTGGATTTCCAGCACACGGATTATTCTTAGAGAATAAACGAGTTCATGAGCCACTAAGTAAAAGTAACGCGAACGGTGCAGCCATTCAACTGTGCTAGACTTTGTTCTTCCATTGGCGACCCATGCTGTTCGTATTAATTAGAAACGTTGATCAACCATTAAATACAGGTAGGCAAATGACTGTTTTGCTCTAAAGTAAAAATTTGTTCAAACAGAAATTAAGAAGTAATTCTGTGATTGATTGCATTCAAAAAGTGAAAACGTGAAGCTAGGTTTGAATATTAGTTATATCTACTTTAGTGTCAATCCAAATCCTTCGACTACGGAAATTTGGTGAAACACTAAAAGCGAAACAGTTTGTGACGTACTACCGCACCAAATGCTTTGAACATGACGACAAAAGATCAGAATTGAAGCCAAGATAGATTAAAAGGCCGGGAAAACCCACATTCTAACATGTCTAAAGAAAATGAAACCACGACCGAAATGAATTCTTTGCTATGCTTTTCAACCGGAAATACTCTTTGAGCTTTCGACTCTTCGAGTGTGCAGATACCGATCGGCTTCAGTATGTATCCAGATAGGAAAACTACAGTGAAAAGCCATCAAACAGGGAAAAAACCAGAGAAGAGTCAAGTATCGAGAAGTGTCTATTTTAATACTTGTGTGTACAAGTTAAAGATGTAAAAAGTGACCTAACGTGTTTGCTCTTCGATTAAAAAATGGGGAGAACCGACATTTTAGAATAGCAAGAATTTAGTTTTCGCTATGACAATCATACCGCTTCTGCAGCGTCTAGACATGCTACACAGATGGCAAAGGTAGATACATCATCCAAAGATACCTTTACACGTACGAACTGCCTACCCCCCATCTGACCTGACACCAACATACGTGGAGATGTCTCTTTTGAGGAAAAAAACTATCAATTCGGATGATTCTATTTCTTTTGCTTTGAAATATTCAAAGAATAAAACAAATTAACGTTTTTAACATGTTTTGTAAGCATGCTACTTAATATGTCATGTACGACGCTGCTGAGACAGGTTCATATTGTGGATACTTTTATCAAAATCCTGAAAGGACCCCATGCAATGTCATTTTTTTTACAAGTCTTTGAAACAGCATTTTTTGTTTCAAAGAAGTTGATTTTCAACTTTTGTTTTGCTATTTGAAAAACTACTTTGGTGCTTTATAAAATCAACTGCACCCTGGACAGTAACCTCAGCATGTTTAAAGAAGTGTACTTTTCAATACACTTGCCCCAAAAGGACATCAAATACACAGAAGAGTATAACGTTGCATATACAAAGCAAGTCTAAGAAAAGTTATCACCTAAACCCTTTTAGTCCGATTAATCTTTGCATCTTGCAGCCCCTGTTTTTTATTTACTGAGTTCAATATGAACAGAAAAACACCTCATCACATCCTTTTGACAGCAAATATACTGCGACCCACATCAAAACAGGGTGACAAGCTTTTTGGCACTTTTTACCTTCAAAGTTGAGCACGGGCAGCTTTTCAGTTTGCGTGTGTATTTCTTCTTGATTATGAAAAATTTAAAAGCTTAAAAATGCAATCATAGAGGACATATTTGTACATGAAAAAGCTGACAAAGCAAAGCTATTAAATGTTAGAGAATGACTTTTAAAAAGGGCATAGGGTTACGGGTCTAGGAACTAGACGCTTATCCTATATTTTCGCAGTTAACAAGGCAGAAATATGCAAAGAATAAAAGCCAAACAGATTTTATTGACTAGAGTCAGAAACTGAATTAGTGCACATTTCATACATTTATGTCAACTCAAGTTAATTTAATATATACTTTATAATATCTCAACCCCACGTTCAGCCGCTGAATCAACTGCAAGAGTACCAAATGGTACTTGCTACACATTCCTGCCATGCAATCAAAAAAGTACAGGTACAATACCATAACTGCCTGTTGTGAAATAAATGATGCACATGGCAACCACAGTACATTTACCAAGCCATTGGTAACTGAAGTTCTATGTCTGTATGCACAAACCAGTGTTGTAGTTGAGACCATCACAAGACCATGCACAAGATGGACCAGTCGCCAGTAATAGGGTGAACAGTGACAAAGGAAAGCTTTTGTTGGGGTTCATTTGAATAGCTTGTGACTTGAATTCAGACTGGTGGTCTTGTGAAGGTCTTAAGTGGTCTCGACTGGCACGTACACATGCGTATATTTGAGGAGTGTACACTGTATGTCTCAAGAGTTGGCATGGATGGAAGCATATTCATCAAGCGTTTCAATGGAGAGTTTGGAAATGTACAGGTGACTTTTCATTTCAAATTCAGAGGTACATAGCCATTAATTTTAGTTTGATTAATGGTACATGTATCTCAAAAACAGTTCAGCATCTGTGGCTGAGGTGATATAAAGCAAACATTGATTACTGTATCTCATAGTGGAGTAAAACTAGCCTCTCTCTCTCTCTCTCACTGATCTGTTGAGCATTCCATTTTCCATTGGCTTTGCCTTGTAATAACTTATCAGACAAATGCACACTAGATGACAGAGGGAGGCTTGTTTCACCACACTGCTCCATGCAGTCTGTCTTTGTACAATCTTTGTACAATACATAATGTAATTGATACATGATTGTATGTTCCCCTTTACACAGCTTTAGTTAATTCAGGTATAACTACATAAAGTTTACCAAAAAGAATTTCCTTACAGTGTCTCTACAATATCCACATACATGTACAGAGTAAACTTTACTAAAGGTAATATGCTTCCACTTTTATAGACAGCAGATTTATGACAAAAACAGAAAGCGGGAAAGACGTAAGCAAGGTTGGATATTATTCTCAAGGTGAAGAATGCCAACAACTTTGCAAAACTGTTGTTTTACATACACAGTACTAGTATTGTTATGAATATCAATGGCAGGGTACATTAAGACTTGGAATCCTACTGTGGAGGTTAGCAATGCTGCAACAAACAGTAAAACGTAAGACATTGAACACATCCACGTAACTTACTTCTTGGTAGCAAATATCATTATAGGGTTGCTTTTTGCACCTTTGGACACAAAAAAAAAATACCAAGCATGAAGGAAAAAACCCACAAGGCTGTTCACTGAGGGAGAGTGGTATCATTAGTGAGATAGGAAGCACTTTGTACAAGACACCAAGCATGCAGAAGTTTGTCAGACACTTATTGCTATTCCTGTCGTCTTGATACTCCAGATGTATCAATGTTTAAAGTTGACTGACCAGCTCGGGGAACTCTGCAAAACCTTGAAAGTTACCTTCTGAAGCACCATGCCTATTATTTCATAGTTTCTGTTCCCCAAGTTTGTTCTGCAAAAAAAGGAAATTATTGAAAGAAAGGCTGACACACACGTACATTTAAGCTACATGTACATGTATCAATTTGCACATAATACAGGAATCAACATGTAAGAATATTCTATTGAAAACTAATTTCAGTACTCATTATCTGCCATCACACACAAGTAACAGTTTACTCCTCAAAACTTAATATCTCAGCTGTGCTATGTTTTTCAAAATACCATATCCCAAATTCAGCAGTCAAACACTGTTTTGTCACATTTATGGTTAGATGTTTTTCACTTGTTTTTCTGAGAAAAATTAAGAGCAACAAGGGAATATCTGGGCGTTAGTGATTGATGGTCACTGCATTACCCAGTTAACTGCAGGGGTGCTTGTAAAACAAGCATGGGTGCGTGTGTATGGGTGTATTTGAGTGCATATGGCTGATGTGATGGATAACAGAGAATGTGATGTGGTTATACCACCCTGTCATACGCATTAGTCTGTGACCTGTGCAACAAATAACAGTGGAACTTACACTTTTCCATATTTTGCATTAACAAGTTGCTAATAAGTTTGACTGTCATAAAGCCTTGTCCTACTAAACCAATCAAGTCAATTAGACAGCTTTGTTGGAGTGAGTGATAAGATGTGCGGTTGTTTTATTACCTGCGAGAAAATGTTGAGAGGAGTCACCCCGTTCCAAAAAACACAATAAGAGACAAATGCCAGGAATTGCTATGTACATGTAGATACACCAGCAGTTGCAGCACTGAATCATACACAAGAAGCCACCTTAAAAAGCTCTGCTCATGTTCTCCCAGTTGTCCAGAATTTTCAAAGTATTTCATAGCTCCAAGAAACTTTGCCAAGTCAATCATTACTGAGCAGATTTTGCAGCTCTACAGCTGTTACTGTTATGTGAATTAGGCTGCTGAGTTTGTGGGCTTTAGCCACTGTACATGTACATTAAAGGTGTTGGCATTGAGTGAGACTCACCATAAGTCTGTTCCTCTGTGACTTGCATGGGAAGTGCATTCTGGTATTTTTGAGCTAACTGACCTCTTAACACTGCTTCCAAATCGTGGTTCTCCTAGTAATTGTCGAGTTAGGGTGCAAGCAAGGGAATGAAAAGTAAACTAAAGGTAAATAAAAAGATTTTTGTGGAATTTTCGCAAGGATTTTTGCAAAAGAGAAGTACACATACTGTACTCTATTTGGCTACCTTGACAATGACTCATCATGTGAAAAATGTATAAGTTTCTTGTTAAAAACCCCAAAACAAAAAGGTAAAAAAAATAAATAGTCCCCACTTTGAAAAGAGGCAACGGGAATGTGGAAGGGTGAGTAGAGCCGCATGCCACCGAACAATCAGCCTTTTCACCGTGTAATTCAAAGCGTGCAGAGCAAGCAGGGCCACAAACCGAGAATTTGCGGTTTGGCAGGTGGCCCTGCATGGCCAAGCGAGGCTGGAATTCTTGGAGTCGGCTTTCAGGAAGAAATTCCCATCGTCAAGGGGTTAAGGAAACTTTCACCACTTTTAATGAAACAGCATGAAAACAAAAAAGAAAGCTACCTACATGTACGTACGAGTACGAGTAATAAACTCTTAAATCTGAAAGAGGACTTTGTGTCTGCAGATTTACAGTTCCATGAAAGAACGAGTGTGACCAAAGTAAGAAATAACTCTGTCAAATATTTTTTATTTTTGAAACCTGTTTTCCACGGAGAGACTTTTTTAATTCAGGGAAATAGAATGAAGATATTAGTTATTAAACCAAATTAGATATTCTAATAGAGAATCATGTAAAACCATACAGAGTGTTGCAGGTCCTTTATGTCATATATGATTACTTAGGATAATCGGTCTACGCATATGAGTCAGTGCAGCTGTACACCTGCTCATACCAATGACCATGCTTCAATTGGTCAGATATCAGATGGTCTGAGCTTGTCTCACTGAAAAGCTAACTGGATTATTACATATCAATCTACCACTAGGAAGTCAGTAGATGCTGTTCAAGGCTTATTGGTACAGTGTTTACAAGCAAGTAAACAAATCTCCTGCAAGTAACTTCAGGAAAAATTGCATGAGCAGAGCCAATTTCAAACATGTCCCTGAAATACTTGTCCAAAGTTTATTATACGCCCTTTTCATCCATACAGTTAACGCAAAATATCAATTTTGTAAAAATCAAACTTTTTATAAAATGCAAAGTGCATCAAATATAAAATCAAAAAAGTTGCACCATCTCCAGTTTTGTGACCTGTGGTTCAAATCCCACACAAGCTGCCCCAGTTTGGGGTATACATGTATTTAGTCCCTTGGTACTACATTTGATCTGAAAAAACCCTTGCCGTAGGTTAGTACCTGAAGGCTGTTCTCTAACACGCCAGTAACTGTGAGGGATATTTTCAATCTACAAGTGCCATTGTGACGCTACATGTGACTACACAATCAGCAGGGACAAAGTCACTACAGTAAATGAACCAAGCCTGTAGTATTAAGGCAAGCATCTTACCTTCTCATGGCTCTCTTGTCTCATATACTTAATGCTCTGTGAACTGCACAGTGGTTTCAGTGCAGACTGGGCCTGTTGCAGTGTTTCCAGCTGTACAACTTGCAGGGGTGCTCTACTAGCATGCCGAGGCTGACCTGCTTGAGGGCGCTGTTGAGGTATATCAAATGTTGGCTGGTGTACAGGAGGTGGTGGTGGCTGTGGAGGAGGCTAACGTGGGAAAAATAATCCACATATACATGTTCTTTGTTGTCAACACAAGACTGGGCCCTGAACAAGTACCTGGACTGGTTTGAATAAAGTGCATGTAGAAATGAACCCTTTAACCCCACTTCATTTGACTTCAGTGACTAGGACCCAAACTCCTTGTGAGGCAGTTAAAGTATAGCTTTGCTCCTATAGAGCAATGGTTCATTTCAATGACAATATAACAAGTGAGCAAAGTAACATGTACATTTTCAGCAACCCTTCTGTTGCACCATAGTGCAAAACAAAATCCAGGAATTCAACTATTTCAATTGTGAAATATGTTTGAAAGGTAAACAGCATTGTTTAACAGCTTTGTAACCTTAAAGGAACCAGGTTTTTACAACTTCCTCCTGCTTGGAGGATGGGGGAGAGATTCTGCCCCCCTAGGACTCATCTGCTACAAGACGAATCTGCAAACATATAAACACATTATGAGTACATGTGTGAGGTTTCAATTCATTCCGCCATGGGGTTTTTATTTTAAGTTCTTCTATTATTCACGTTCTTATGCACATTGGCCTGTGTGCACTGACGTGTCCTTGGGAAAAGATGAAACACTTTGGCAGCCTTTCTCTTTTACTGACAGTGACATTTGCAACAATGGTAAACTGGTGTCAAAAGACACCAAGACTACAAAAAACATTAAAACAAATAGTGTGATGATATTGGGAAAAAAGGTTTGCGACGTTCAGGAATGCATTAACCAATTTGATTTGACAGTTTGATTCGCTAACAAACTCCAAAAAGTTGCTTAGACACTGTATATGTACATACATGTACATGACATAGCAAATCAGGGGAAAACTGATATGCCTCAATTCGATTCATTTAATGCTCCGATTTCAAATGAGACAATTTCTCATGTATCGCAAGTTGTTTGCCGGTCTGTATCTGTGAGATCTCACCTGTTGAACCACTGGCTGGAATGGTCTAGGTCTAGCTTTTGGCCTTAGAGCTGTGGAGATGTCTAACTGCTGACCAGACTGTAGCTGCTCCATGAGAGTCTATGCAAGAATATTGAAGAGGCATTTTATACTGTGCAAATAGATTCACAATACATTGTGCAGTCTGTGTACGGGTGGTTATGCCAGAGCAAATGCATGCTTTTTACAGGTAGTTTCGTACATATTAAAAATATCAATCATTATCAGTTTGTTCAGATATTATAATCTATCTTGGTCACAAGTTTCCATAGTTAAGGCCATTAAACAAAAACTGCATTGGCCAAAACTCTTGAAAATAGTCAAACACTGTTGATTAGTCTTCAGACAAAAAATGCGTCACTCGGAAATGAAAAGCCATAATATTAAAACAGGCACCTTCAGGTAACATGAGTTTCACTCTGACTGAATTCTATGAAGAGCAACATTTTTAGGAACTCATTTTGATTACCTTAGACACTGCTGTGATACTGGTTGGTGAATTTATCTGTGCATGACTCAGCTGAGATATTAAACTCTTCAGGTGTTCCTCTGTCAAGTTGGGTTTGCTTGGTTCCTCTAAAACAAAGAAAAGTACCAGCATACTCAATCATTTCTTTCTCAAACTGTGGAGCACGACATCTTAACTATCAAGAGCCCTGATTGGCCACAATGACAAATACAATGTAGCTCAGATTTCTAAACATTGCAGTTCATTGCTCTCATTTGTGCTGTTTGTTTTCAGTGTAAACAGTCCCATAGAAACCAATTGTGTTTGGTAGTTACTACCAGACAAAACTCTGTGACAGCATATTTGTGAACATACCGATACAAGCACATGTATGTATATACAGTGTAAGCAGGCCCTGAAGTGTAGATTATAAATCCCCTTTAATCCCCTGAGCTTACATGTACTTCAAATTTCTGAGATACTACACCCATGCACACTGCAGCAAGCCTTCGTTCTATAACCAGAAAGAATTTCATGCAAGATAAAACAAATGAATAGTGCATACTAACACCACATACATGTATATGTAACTAGACCATTACCTCGAAGACTGTTATCATTAATTCACAATCTCATAATACCTCCACCACGTATGTTCACCCAGCACTGCCGGTGTATCAATTTAGTTGATACATATGGGATTGTATGGGACGGCGCATGACAGGTCCTGTATGGTCCTATCTTCTACGACTAAAGGCTTCAAATTTTGATCAAAAGAGGCAGTGGCGAAGAGCCATAGCCAGTGTTCGATACTCATGCATGCCGAAGTCTCACACGGAAACGCCGCACCGTGTGTTGCCAACAGAGTGCAACATGAACTGTTGGAAATATTTCTTGTAGGGGTAGTTTTTCTGAAGACATACCCCACATATTTGCAATGGATGTTTGTAATGACACATCGTTATTGGAAACAAGTATCAATCCTTGATATATAATAAACACGAAATTCACCATTAAACCCTACTAAATTGTAAACTATTCATACATCAACTGGACTTTAAGTTAGGCAATGACTTGCTGTAACAGAATAAAATCACAGCAAACCAGATTTTAAGTTTGTGAATCTGGTTTTAAAAACTTATGCAAGCTACTGACCATCACGATGGCCTTAAGTTCACTGCTGGCTTCATATTTATATGTTTCACATTCTTGTAAAAAACCCCATTGCAGGAATCGTTATTTTTTAAACAAACAGAGGAAATAAAGGAATTTCACTGCTTGGAAATGGCTACTGCATATTTGATTATGTAAAATCATTTAGAATAATCCATCAGACATCTTGTATCCATCGCAAAAGCTCACTGGTGTTCCAGTGTACGACCCTGAACTATAAGCTAAACTAAGTTGAGGGAGAAAACATACGAGGTACAATGTACATGCACCTTTCATATTGAGTTGCCCAAGCATTGAATGCATGATGACATTTCTCAATGATTGGTCTTGGACTGCTGGTACATGCACATGTAAATGTACTCACCTTGCACGGCGAGTAATTCTGATGCAAAGTAAGGATGCTTTCGGAGTTCTTCAATGGAGGGTCGTTCCCGAGCATCTCTGACCAAGCATTTCTTGAGAAGGTCAAGAAGATGTGGATTATCTACACGAGGGAATTCAATCACATGCCTGTCCCAATAAAATCAAAAGAGAAATACACACCAGATTAATTGGGGGGACGGCTGACTTGGACTCCCATTTTCAAGAATAAACCATTTTATTATAACATTGGCCTCAATGGGGTAGCATTGGTCAAGATTGTAGAACACATCCTTCAAAAAACAATAGCAAATATTTAGTGCATGTGCAGTATGTGCTTGTACCAGTGTACATTACCTAGGATCACAAATGGCTTGAAGTTTCATCAAGCTGTGCGTGATATGTTGAAATGGTGTCCGGCCATACACCATGTAATAGAAGATACAGCCAAGAGACCACACATCACTCTTACAATTAATCTGCAAAGAGAGCAAGAATACAGCTGGTTGGGTACACTGAGGTTTCAAATTTTATAAAAACTTCAGTTGTTTTGAAAGACACACCGGGTGGTTGTAGAGAAAGACACTAGAAATATGTGAAATGAACATCATCCAGGATTTCTTCATTCCCTCTTCCTCTTTATGAAACAATCGTCACTTGATATTGGTGAGACTGTTTACAATATCCCAACATTTTCACAAACATGGTACCCCCATCTGGCATTATTTCCCAGCTGACCAATCAGTAAGCTGATTACATTGCTGAGTCTGACAGTAGACCGTAGTCTGCGATGTGAAAAGACAACTGAAACAAGATATCCCCCCAGGGGATGCTCTAAGAAAACTGGTCAGCAGACCTTTCACTTGAAATCCTGAAAACTATCCGCATAGCAGCAGAGGACAAAAGTAAAATGATCACTAGGCACACTCTCCACCTGAAATACTTCCCAAAGTCTTTAGCTACAATAGTTACAGCCAGACAATAGCCTGTCATTTTTGCCTCCATATTGACAATATTTTTGTGGACTCAAAGGGTAATTCTTTACAATTTAATTTCAGGGAGACTTTCGTCAAATCTATAAAGGGCATGAATGCTTAGAATTGCGTTCCATGTCTTATGGTGAAATTTGAACTGACTTTCAATTTCCTTCCCATCTACTGTGACTGATCTGTGTGTGGATAATGAGATGAGCCCCTTCAAAAGAAACTGTACTCAGAGGAGTGCTTCCATCAACCCCTACATGTAGCTATAATGGTCTTCCTGCATTCAGCAAAATGGTCAACGTCAGGTTATTGGGCTGTTTAGAAATTAAGGAGTACCAATGTAAACATGGCTTTATTTTTACAACTGGGCAGTCTTAAATGTGGGTGGCTTGTTGACACGGTCTTGGGATTTTGTGAGTAGATATCAGATGACATGGAACTTTCCTGCAGGCAAATAATGACCAGACGTAACCTTTATTTAACATGCACAGGAGCCAAACAACAGAACTGCACATCCAACAGAAATTAATATCTTTTGAGTTAATGTCAACAAGGTAGAAGGGTGAAATGCTATATATAAAGTCAACGATGGAAGCTTCAAATAGAATACTGTTGCTGTACACCTTCTTTGTGCTTTGAACAATTGGTGTTTGATATGAAAACAAATCCAGATAATCTCTACAATGAGGGAATAAATTGGCAGGGCAGGGTCTATGTGTGTGCTACTGGCATGATAGAAAGAATTGGCAAACCATGTCTGAAAAACTCAGTGCATGACATGTACCGGTACATGTACCTGTACTGAGTATACCAGTGTACTGCACATGTAGGGTACTTTTATAAAGCAGATTTTTGAGTTTCAAAGACAAAGAAATGCATGCAAAATATTCAGGAATGGCAGAGAGACATACATGTACTATACATGTGTAACCGTACATGTACATGTGTATATGAACCATTTTGTATACACGTGCACCATAAGTTTTTACAGCCGAATCAAGAAAATTCATCAGCCTTCACTGAAAAAAATCCAAGTGACGCTGTTTATAATAAATCATAATCAAAGTGGGGCCTCTTCCTTTCATATTATTATTGCTTTTATTCATGTCATTCTCTTTCATGGATTGGAATTAAAAATTGCATTTGTGTTATCTACTGTACATGTGAACTCTTAGTACATTACAAATACATGTACATGAGCAGTGAACACTGTTATAGCAAGATCTTTGGAACTTTACAAATTACCTTGTTATTTTGGAAAACAAAGCAGAACAAAGATGTGGGACCTAAAATTGTCCATTATAGCCCACTCCTATTTGACCTACAAGTATGGGTGGCAAAGTATGCAGAAATCATCCTTTGCTTGGTTTTATTTTATTTTAAAGAGGGTTGTATTGTTATTTAGTATTTAGTAAATGCACTTACAGTATTATTCTCTGGCCTTCTGATAGCTGTTTGGAATTTTGAACACCTTGTGCATTATTCTTTCACATTTGTACTGATGGCCAGCAGCCATAGCTTCAGCAGTCATTTGTAGGAAAAAAACACAACTGTGATGTAAAATGAGCAGACCCTATCAACATGACCTGGTGCGGAGAGTGGTCTTATCTGCGTTGGACTGAGCTACTGTATGCGCATTACATGTACCAATCAGTGAAAATATATTCTTTTGTAAAGTACATTGAAAAGGCCCATTCCAACATTTTTTCTAAGATTGACCAAGCTTATCTGGACAACAGAGGGCAGTGTTGATATTCTGGGGAGAAACTTTCCAGTTGAAAGGTTTTTCTGTTCAAGTTACAAGCCCCAAATTCATTCACTGAAAACATTTCTGAGAAAGGGTTGCTTGTTGGTTTTTTGCCATGTACTGAAACAAACTAAATTATCAACAAAAAGGAATAAGCCTTTTGCAAGTTAACCAGTACACCGAGTTAACCGACTGTACATAAACATAACAATTTAAATTCCCTAGACTAAAGACCTGTTTTTATTCTTTTACCTAGACCACTATTGAGTCCTTTTTATCCAATGAAAATAGTTTATTGGTGCAAGGTGCATCTTATATACTGTACATATATGTAACTAAGCAAAAGCTTCCCCGAATCATGAGGCAACAGCATAGCAACATAGCAAAAGAATAGCATCAGTGTCTTTAGTACTGAGAATCCAATTTGTAATGTTCACATGAAAGAAACTAAGTGTACCAGTTATTATTTCTATTCAAATTTAACTCGCAAAAGTCTTATTTCAGAAGAGCAAAATGTCAAAAATTTCAGCAGGTTTTTTCTTAAGAACATGGTTTGTTACCATAAAAACCACAACAGCACCAGAAGTTTCATATAACAGCCCAACAAAATGAGAAAATAACTGAAACAAAAAGATGCATTTGTGAGGACGGCTGTACAAATTTCCTTTTGCAGACCCTTTAAAGGCAATCCACATGTGTTAAGAGTTTTGAGCATTCAATTCAAATGCGGATGTAACTTCAGTAAGTTCATCATTTGCCTTTGAATGTAAGCTGGCCTGTGTTTACCAAGTCACTTTCAGAAATGGGAATTTAAACACTACATGCAATTACATGTATGTCTGAACAGTGATACCGGTATGTACATGTACATCTCTACATGTCCATGTACGTGTAGAGTTATATTTCAAGTTTTATTGTGCATGCTGCTACCAGTAAAGATAGCAGTATATTTATCAAATGTGCACATGTACTTAAAATTGATGAGAAACAAATTTGGTATCTCAGAAAATTAAATTGAAAGCAAAATGTAACTAAAAATATCTCATTAAACCATCTGATTGATAAGTGGACAAACCAATTCAATATAATATACAGGGCTTCCCTTGAACACTACATGCGTGTATATTTCAATAAATGCAAGGCACTTTGAAGCCAAATGACTGTATGAATATACATGTATCTGGAAATTTGCAAATCATCTGATTGATATTCACAAATAACATACAAATATTACCCTGTAGAATTATTCTGCCAGGTTACCACTTACATACATGTACATGTTGTACAAGATGTTTCTAGTAATGAACGTTCAAATAAACAATTTCAACCTGGCTCTAGTTTGGTGTCCCATTTGTGAATGCCAAATTTTCTCCTTCAGGCTATTTTGGATGCTATATTCTTTGGATATTCCTATCCTTTGCCGATGAAATAATTATGATTTCATGTTGAACAGATTAGTGTTGCCAAGATTATAAATTGAGGTTTCAGTAGTCTGCCCTTGGAATCTACAAAAAATAGGGGGAAAAATTGTAAAATGTTTACATAACCCTGACGAGCTGAGCAAGGGGGCAAAATCAAGCCGAGCCTTTAGTTTTTCGGTCCCATAACTTCCGCAGCCATTTGATCCAAATTTTGAAAAAAGTGAACATATGCACAGTGCCAATTTTCTGAGACAGGTTAGCCAAAAATGTATGTACCTTTCCACTGCCATGCTCAATGCATACAGGCTGGCACGTGTGTGGCCTCCAACTTCAAAGTACCCTAACAACAAAACCATGGTCTGATTTGAGGTTGAAACTCTATTTGAACTGGTAAGGAGTGTTTTACATGTATATGCATGGAACTGTTTTTTTAAATGTGGCATGGTATGACCAAATTCTTGGAAGGGGGGAGTTGCCCAGGCTATGAGATGGTCAGAAATAACACAGCTACATGTACATATATTTTAAGGTTAAATACTATATTAAATACCTCTTTTTTGTACATGCACTACTCTATAACACTGTGTGTATTTCTGACAACACCAGTGAGGTATTTTCAATAGACCGATTGCACATTCATGTGACCTTTTAGTAAGTATTGGATACCAACAAACACAGTGTCCACCAAAGCAAAGTGTTTCATAAGTATCATTGACCAAAATTAAAGTGGACAGTAGGTACCGCACTCGGACTACTGATGTGCAGCGTACTTTACCATATCTTGGCTGTATTGCTTGTTCACAACACTCAAAACACACATTGCTATGGGGCTGATACCCACTATAGCTCACACGATTTAGCAGGTGCAATCGGTCTACTCCAATTCAACAAAGAAATTGATGCTTACCTTGAGCTTAGGCCGTCTGTGTCCATTGGCATCAACCTGAGGTGAGGGTGATGTGTCCTGAATGGCCTCAGGTGACATGTAATTCAGTGTCCCTACTTGAGACTCCCTGACCACACTTGTCTTGTCACTTTGAATGGCATTGGCAATGCCGAAGTCAATCAGCTTGAGAGTGCCCTCAACAAACAGGAAGTTGGCTGGTTTTAAATCACTATGTACAATTCCTGACCAAAAGAAGGTATTACAACAATACTCATGAAATAATACAAAAGAATGTAATAGTTTGAGGTCACCTTAACTGCAGTACAAAACCATAATATATATGTTCAAGTACATGTAGACTGTACATATACATGTACAGTGTATGCAAACAACAGTATGTGCAATGAGACACTGTCATAACAAGGGCCTTAGGACTTTACACATTACCTTGTTATAATTATCAGTAATAGAAAAACAAAGAAAAACAGACTTGAGATTTCAGATTGTCCTTGTTATAAATGACTTTGTATTAACAGCGCTTTCTTATCTGCGTTCGACTGAACAAGCATACTGCTTCCAAAATGCCATTATGAAGAATGAAGTGACCAATATCTCTTCAGAATGCCTATGCCCATGTACTGATGTACATGTACACATGCATTTAAGTACAACTGTAAAAGTACTTGACAGTGATCTTGATAAGTAACGGTTCTCAATGTTGTACCTATGACTGTGTCTGTGCATGGTGGAAACTGATAGATTTGGGTCATTCCTTGAGGTTGGGGCACAGTTTGTGACGGTGTCCTTGTTACATGGGTAACTTCTACCGTCTGTCATGACCTGTAGAGTAGGTCATTTACTCTGTAAAAATAACACACACCTCTGTATTCAGCCTTGCCAGATGTATAACAATGTCAATTTGGAATCCACATGCAGGGAAATAGTTGTTCATTTTTACGGAACCCATGTAACAATGGACACCGTCACAAATTGTGCCCCAACCTCATGGAATGACCCATTTATAAATGATACTTGTCATATGCGTCTAGCTGGGCAGTTTAACCCCAATAGGAAAACTGAGTGGAACACAAAACAACAGGGACTACATTTTGGAGTGAGTGGAAAATTCATTTGTGTTTCCGAGTCATCTTATGAGAGCTCTTTACAATAGATAGTAGCCACATTTTGAAAACAACTCCCAACCCCTGTTGTTGGAAATGTTAACATGCCAACTCAGACATTCACAGCAGTTAGTTACTGCAATGTACACAATGAAAACACACCAAAGTACAGTACATGTATTGAATTCAGCCAAGAATTCTGGCAAGTTCTTCAGTTACAACAGCTATGACAATTGACCATCTATTTACATGTACACAACACAAATTGTGAGATTAATCCTTAATCAAGTCATCTGCACCTACTGTACTTGTACCACACAGCCTCTAAACTGTACATACCTGCTTGGTGCACCACATCCACTGCATTTAACATCCCTCTCCAGTAGAACTTCATGTCCCGAGGATCAATCTTCTTGTGTTTACTCAAGAAAGTTGCCAGATCAATAGATCCACATTCCATGACCAGATAGATGTGGGAATCAGTGATTTCACTGAAACAAACCAAATACAACAGGTTGTTGCAAGAAATCTAAATGTGTAAAAGTAGAAACCAAGAGTTCTGTAGGGGAACTTTTCAGGGTACCACTGGGGAACGTTTCAGGGTACCACTGGGGAACTTTTCAGGGTACCACTGGGGTGTAACAACACTTCTCTTCACAGCAGATTTGTCAGTATGTACCACAATACTGAGGGGATTATCACCTTAGGTATAATTCATGATACAAATTATGAACTTGCATTTTCACAGTCTCTGTATTCATTCGTAAGTTATCCACTTGCAATGCATGCACGCTGGGCTTATTTCTCTGAGACGCCTACTGCTGATGATTTGTTCACAATTTTCAATATATTCTCTTTTCACTCAATAACGGGGTTCTGCCCTTGAACCGAGGTATATATGTATGTTCATAATACTGCATACTCAGTGTTTGTCCGAGGGCTTGCAAAAACTTCATTAGCTTACTCAGGTGGGACTCCAGTCCACGATTGCCTGCTTACTAGTGCAGACGACTAGTGCAAACATCTTAACCACTCAACCACCGAGCTTACTGGGGTTAGCTGGCCTGTCCGATTCAGATCAGATGTTGTACCAGTGACTACTACAAACTGTTCCAAGGTGTAATTTGCATCGGGGTGATGTTAAACTTTATTAATGTGCTTTGCCCTTACATTGACAACTGTTCATTACACTGTATATTCAGAGTTTGTCGACAAGTTTGTGAAAAATATTTACAAGCTTACTCAGGTGGGACTTGAACCCAAGACCTCCTGCTTCCTAGTTTTAACCACTGGACCACCGAGCTTACTCAGGTGGGACTTGAACCCAAGACCTCCTGCTTCTTAGTTTTAACCACTCGACCACTGAGCTTACTCGGGTGGGACTTGAACCCAAGACCTACTGCTTCCTAGTTTTAACCACTCGACCACTGAGCTTACTCGGGTGGGACTTGAACCCAAGACCTCCTGCTTCTTAGTTTTAACCACTCGACCACTGAGCTTACTCGGGTGGGACTTGAACCCAAGACCTACTGCTTCCTAGTTTTAACCACTCGACCACTGAGCTTACTCAGGTGGGACTTGAACCCAAGACCTCCTGCTTCTTAGTTTTAACCACTCGACCACTGAGCTTACTCGGGTGGGACTTGAACCCAAGACCTACTGCTTCCTAGTTTTAACCAATGGACCACCGAGCTTGTAGCAGTGAGTACCATATCAATTTTTAGATGTTCATCATGTCATGACCACATGTAATTTGAACTTTGGGTCATGATTCACAATAAACACACAAAATAACGAGCTAATAAATGTACACCGCTTTCTTCATATTACTTTGGAAAAACTACAGTCTGACATGTCTGAACCTTTTCTTGGGGTTCAACACAACGTTCTCCCTATACAGTCCATGAACAGGCATGCTCAGTTAAAAATTGAAATAATGTTGATAATTTTCTATCACTGTCTGAACTTTTGTGCTGTGATCTACCGCTTTTGTCACATGGCAATCATGAGAAAAAGAAATTACCCCCATTCCAAGCTTATTTTATCATAGGGTTATTGGCTGTACTGTGTAAAAGAGAACGTTTGTGTTAAACTACAACAAGTTCAGCCATAAAATAACAAAAAAAAGTGAGAGAGAATGATCCCAAAGCAATGAGGAAAATGTTCTGTTCCACACATACATGAGAATGCATCCAGCAGGAACATAAAAACATGGGCGGAAACCACAATTGCAACATGACTGTGCACAGATGGGCTGCCACGTACTGGCCAGCAAATGAGTGTGCTGGCAACAGCCTTTTAATTAAGCTTTTAAGAAAATTGCCCTTATGGACCACTACGAAGGATTCTAAAATAAACATTGAAATAAATGCACAAGTACAGAAAATACATCATGCAGAGTGAGGTAGACCAAGTTTTGTAAACTTTGCCATTAAGTTGGATAGTTTCAATGCGACGCTACTTAAAAGTTTGGATGAGTACCACATTACCAGCACTGCCAAGCCATCGCAGCCATACATGTAGAATCCTTAGTTGTAGTCTCTCTTCCAGCCTGTCTACTCTTGCTACAACCATTTTCAGGGACAGGGTGGAAATGATTACAGTGCCTGCTGTATGTGATTTCTTTACAGTGAAACTTATGCATATATATGTGCATGAACATACATTTACTATAAGTCCCATTGTGGAACTTTTGTTTGATTTCAGCACACCTTTTGGTCATTGGTCGTCGGTGATTTTCTAATAAATTTTCAGTTCTCTGACTTTCTGGTCTCCTTAAATTTAAGGTAAAATACCGGTATTAACAACCTTTCCCCTAGAAAAACTGAAGCATATGGATTGCATATTGAGGGATTGAAAGTATGTCAGAGTTTTTCCACAGCATATCAGCCCAATGTGCTACTGTATTTTATGCCTGGCTGGAACCCTCCTTACAACATCAGGCCATCTATGCCTAACAGCTGAACTTACAAGTCGTAGAGGTGTATGATGTTTTCACTATAGCGTAGTTTTTGAAGCAGTGTGATCTCATTGATGTAACCTTGTATCGTCATGTCATCAGCACAGTCCAACTTGACATATTTAATTGCTAGAACTTTCTTCTTATCCTCACTGAACGCCTGATACACCTGCAAACAAATGAAATAATAGCTTACTGACCACACACCTCACCTTTAAAAAATATTACTCCACTGGTTACAGGAATGTTAAACAATGATGAAGTCCCATATTAATACCTTTATGAAGATCAAAGTATCTGCAGAAATTACTAAAGGAGATGTTCAAACAAGTTACATGGAGAAACTAGAAATTCCAAGCTTTGCATATGATTATCTGCTATATTCAGGCACAACAGATGGTGTGTCTTTATATACATGCAGCAACAATAGTCCTTCAGAGCAACTTTACTGTACGTGTATGCAGGTTCATGCTCACTTGGTGCTAAGCAAGTGCTATTGAAATAAAGTTTTCACAAAATTGACATTTCTTTGCTGAAGAGGGGATACTTTTTGTCAGAGTTGGTATGGTCAAGTGTACATTGGGAGGCTCAAAAGACACAGTGAGCCTGGTTGAAGTCTTAAGCACAACCATTAAAAGCTTCAACCTGGCGTCTGTCTTGAAACTACCTAAAAGTCAAGTTTCAATTAATGTACCTCTGCACACGAGCAAAGTTAAAATTTCTTGACCCAGGCATCAACATTCATCAATGAAGCTAGCCCTGGATCAATGTACATGTACAAAGACTTATGGGCCAGAATGGTATTTCAACTGTGCATGCTAAAAATGAAGTACACTGGAGGTCGTGCAAAAACACACAGTTGTGTTTGCTATACTATTGCTACTTGCTATTGAGGAGTCAGGTTGACGCAGTGGCTCTTTCCTCGCCTTCCACCTCTGTGGCCTGGGTTCGAATCCCGGCCCGGTCCACATGTGGATTGGGTTTTGAGTCCCTACCTGATTCCATGGGTTTTACCCAGAATATTCCTTTGGGGTTTTCCTCCCACCTCTAAAACGGTAACTGCTTCTCATTGTCTCCTCTCTACAGGTTTCTTCAGGCTTGCGAGCTACAGCGCCGAGGGCGCTTTTGAGGAATCCTTGGTGTCATTACCAGAAATATATAACAATAATACCATACAGGAGAGGGCATTGTGTTTCCAACTGTTCCCACAACATATCACTATAGACAGAACACTGGCACTTACCACCAAGGAGAGCATATTGATCACCAAGAACAGGGAAAGACCCTTTGTGATCTGTTCTCTCTATGGTAACACCAACAATGTACACACACACCTGTACATGTGTGTGAGGTACATCCTATATGGGAAGCCCTACACTGGTACACAATGTACAGTGTACATGTATATGCACAATGTGGGAGGAAAACCCTGAACATGTATTTCAGGGAAAACCCAAGGAATCAGGTAGCGACTGGAAACCCAATTCATATACCAAATTAGTCGAGATTCAATCCTCAGGTCACCATGATGGAAGGCAAGGAAAGTACCACTAGCCAACCCAAACCAGACCCCCCCTCCCACACACACATTGATTGAATGGTGGAATCATGCTAACCCAGAGCCAACAACACTTGGCTATTGGTACTCTGGCATGTCTAGCATCAACCTGTCACGAGACAAACAATTTTTCTATTTATCTATGCTTATTAATAGAAGTAACAAATTAGAAAAATGGGCTATGAACCTGTGTTAAGTGTTGGCTACAGTTGAGTTCCAGTAATCGGAATATACATGTACATGTAGAACAATTCAGTCACATTCACTGCATTCTTATTGGTTTTAGAGTTAAATATCACTTTCATATCAGTATTTTACCAAAAGAGACTCTGTTTTTTAACAGATTTGGAAGTAACAGAACTAAACCACATTGCACTGCAGGACCACCTGTTTACAAGTACAGTATATGTATTTTTGATGGATTAATTTATTAATTAATTGAACAGTTTTAATGTAATAAAATTGAAATATTTGTAAGGTTTCATGAAAACAGATGCAAGCAGTCTGTTCAGATCAAAAGGAAATCCAGTATTACTTTCTAGCATTTATGCGTCATCTATTTTTACTTTTCAACTTAGTTGGTCTATCTTTATTAACGTTGGTGTCATTTTTTTCAAGTTCTGTTGTAGAATGTTTGACATTATTGATCTTCAGAGGTTTTTGTCCATTCTCTTATGAAGGGAAGCATTAATTTTCACAAAGTGGTTTTTCAAATAACGGCATTAGAAAAATAACCCAACAATGGGCCCATCGGTTTAATTACTTTCAGGAATGAGTAGAACTCCATGGGCTTATTGAACTGCAATGGTCAAGTTGAGAAAAAAGGTCACTGAATTTTAATCTGCTTTAATGAATACATGCAGGTCTTGTGCAGTCTCTGGAATGTGGAATGCTTACCTTAGATGATCCACCTTTGCCAATGACACGGAGGATGGTGTAGGTAACATTATTGACAGTAATAACATCCTTTCTCTGCACTGGCTGGGATGCAGCTCTTGGTGTAATCTTGCAAAGAAAATATGCATCATTTCAGGGATATCACAGTGTCAATTGGTATTCTCTATTGCCGTATAACAGTACTTTGTCTTAAATGTACAGGTGTGCCCTTTGATCAAAGTACACTGTACTTGTATTCCTAAGCTTAAGCCTTTTTCCTTTAAAAATGAAATGTATACAGTAAACAGAATGCATCACTTTGACTGTTGATTTCCAGTTGTTGGCTACCATCATCTCATCGGATTTTTCTCGGACTGTCTACTCAAATGTATTTAACATGTAACATATGACATTGAGACTTATTTTGTTCTTCACCAACGTGCATGTTGAATGATGTACAAATGTACATTGTAGGTAAACACTGTTACTCAGTACTGTCAGAGGGCTTGTGAAGAGATTCACAAACTCACACAGGTAGGACTCAAAGCCAATGACCTTGTGCTTTGAAGTGCTGGCGTCTCATCACTCATGCAGCTGGCTTGTTTGAATCCAGTGAAATAAATTAAATATGATAATAACCCACAGCATACATATACATGTATGAGGAAAGTGACTGACTCCATAATAAACAAAGGAAAATGAAATCACTGATAAAAACATCATACTGTCGGACAAAAAAGATACCCAAAACAAGGTTGTGCAAGTTTTTCACTTGAAAACAAGGGTTTAACTGTTTCAAGATTACAAAAACATTTCAATTCAATGTGATTCTTTAGGAATTTTCGAATCAACTAAGCAAGCATCAACATTTAACAACGTCACATTATAAAGTATTGGTTCTCAAGCGGTCTACCAGCACTAATAAGAAAAATGTGACCCACTCCAGGAAAAGGCGATATAAGTCGCACCATGCATTTACGAGCAATGACCCGCTCAACGTTGGATTCAAAAATTCCTTTTTTACGACAAAATCATTGAAAATACTAATTCCTTAGTCCTTGTGCGAATTTTGAGGGTGGTTGTAACACAAGAGCATGTTGGTTGCTAAGTAAGATTTAAATGCCTACAACCCACATCAGAGCCAGATATTTCAAAGCCTGTTTTCTCGGTTTTGCAATTTCAATTGCCTGGAACTAATTAATATGCAAATGTGTCATAACTCCGGAAAAGGAAAGGCTACAGATCTCTATCATATACCAAATGAAAGCTTCTATTGTGGGCTTTCAAGTGATGTATATAACTGGATTTTTTTTTTTGCAACTTATATCACCTTTTCCTGGAGCGGGTCACAAATGTCATAGTTGTGACCTTTGACTGGGAAGGCAGTGCTCCATAACACTACCGGTAAGTAGGGGAAAGGCAAAACTTAATATTATTACTCTGATGCAAAATTCAAAATTTCAAATTAACCCCTTCGCTACGGAGGACTGCTACTACCGTACCATTGTGTGAGGATTAGTGAATACCACACATACAGTCATACAGTCTATTCACCATGCAGCTGCTGGTTCAATGGGGCCTGCTGATGGACAAAGCCCTCCGTTTAGGGCATACCACAGCCCAGCAGTTGCGGTTAAAATAATCCCGCCGTGAATGGGTTAATCAAAGCAACTATTCTTTAGATTTAGAAAAAAAAATACTGTATGAAAGGGAAAGAATATATATTCGGAAACAAAGAATGATTATGAAAACAACTGTAACAGTAACTTTCTTTAAATCCAATATCTCTGATGGACGGTATGTCAATATAAGGTACAATTGGGCAATAAGCTTTAGACTGACAACTGATTTTGTGTACATTGATAGGCATGATTCTTACCATCTGCCGATTGTTTCCAGACTGATGGAAGAGATGGAGATGGCTTGCTCCATTTTCTGTGGGACGGGGTTGATATGAAGACTGCACAGCTGAAGGGTGGGACTTGACACTGAAATATGAACAGGGCATCAACGTTAATAAACAACTGGGCATGCCGGTGAATGACTAACGAGCAAGCATCTCCTGAGAAGCTAAGGATATCTTACTGAATAGGGTATCCGCCAATGGTTGAAGTGCACCCTCATCCTCAAAGAAGAGGCAGGCTGGTGGGAAGTTTCTCAACAGGGTTCGTGTACGCACCAAGAGCTCATGCAAAAACCATACGCTCAACGGAAATTGGTCACAGTCAGCGAGTCCTACGCACATACGCGTTGAGTTCCAACCAAAGTACCATCTTCGCTATGAAACTACGCCCTCTTTTGTTCTTGCTCAGAGCGCACTAGAACCAGCCCTAGGCACACAGCATTGTTCTGGACAAACAATCTTGAGTTTTCAAATGTCAAGATACCAAGGCCACTTTCCTGAGGACACCACAAATATTGACTCTTAGGGTCATTTGTACAAGACGAGTGAATAACAGTCTTTTCAACACTCCAAAGGCATCGCAATAGAGCAATATTTGCTGTGATAACAAGCCCTTACATGCAAAGACTGGGTACAGCACAGAACTTGTACCAACTGCATATAGTTCAACACTTTGACTGCACCGAGCCCATGGGAACTGCCGGAGTGTGAGGCTGTGTGTGTTCTTTTCTACTTATATAAATTACCAGAACATCTTCACACCTTCCCCATGAAACTTTCAAAGATAATTCTTATGGCTTACACATCCTGTGGTGCAAAGTGGTTAACATGAGAAGTGCAGATATTCTTAAGCCGAAAAGAAACAAATTGACTTATTTGTCGGTTGTAACTTGTATTGAAATGATTTGAATAACTATCAGCATGTCTTAATCCAGTTAACAGATTACCCTTTTGGCTGACGTGGTGTTTCCTGATTCACACTGCCTTTGTCTTGTGGTTTCCCTTTATCTTGCTTTTGGAAACTTGAAAGACCACTTTCAATTCTTTGACCAGTCTGGGACCTGCCATCTTGTTGAGAAGGGGTGTTCAATTGTAGAGTGTCTGCATTACTGTAGTTTCTTGACAGGCTGGGAGGTTGTTGCTGCTCGGTGGAGGGTGTTGCCATCATAGCAACACCAGAGTCATTACTAGCCTGCCTTGGGGATTCAATAATTGCTGTAAGCCTCTCATGTCTTGCATCAGCCTTGTCATTGCTTGGTGGGGAGATTTTCTCCAGTGGCTCGATGTCAGGAAACGGAAAGTCATCATCACTGTCATCCGGGTTAGATGGGGTGACCTCTGGTAGCTTCAGTGCTGCACGTTTCACTCTCTGTGCTTGGCCATAATTGGGTCTTTAAAAAAAGAACAAAATCATAGTGTTGCAAACATGTTAACAAACAAAATAAACGTACCTGTAATGTTACTGATCCCGGTGACGAACGAAGCAAGTTGCTATTGACTGAAATCTCAAAACCAAAATATGGACTAGAACCCCCCCGAAAGGCCTTAAAATTACAAAGTAAATAATGACGTTGTATTTATAAGGGCTACATTGAAAAATTACATTGGGGTGTTTAGTTCAAGGTATGGGCAGTTCAAGGTATGGGCAGTTCAAGGCACAGGCTGTTCAAAGCACGGGCTGTTCAAGGCATGGGCAGGTCAAGGCATGGGCAGGTCAAGGAATGGGCTTTTCAAGGCACAGGCTGTTCAAGGCATGGGCTGTTCAAGGCACAGGCTGTTCATGGCATGGACAGTTCAAGGTATGGGCAGTTCAAGGCACAGGCAGTTCAAGGCATGGGCAGTTCAAGGAATGGGCAGTTCAAGGCACGGGCTGTTCAAGGCACGGGCTGTTCAAGGCACAGGCTGTTCAAGGCACGGGCTGTTCAAGGCATGGGCAGTTCAAGGCACAGG